CTGTTTGCAACTTATTTACAGAACAGATTTTTTTAAAGTGCTCAGTAAATTCACTTTTTGCAAATTTTTATTATTACTGCAAAAAACACTTTTTAATGAAACATTGTTTTCATATTTTCACTCTATACTGTTTCACTTGTAAGTCACAAGTGATTTATTGTTCAAAAAGCTGAACACAAATATGATTCTATTTTAAATAGAGTGGTGTTTGATGTACTTTTCACCATGAAGGTTTATTTTTTGTTGATGTCAGTAATGCCATTAACACAAATAAAATTGACTTAGAGACATTTTTAATTCATTTTAATTTTACTTAAAACTGACGTCCAGAATTATTAAGTTAATGTTATAGGCATTAAAAGTCCTTTTGTAGTCATGAAAAAGCAATGACAGAGCTACATTAAAGTAAAGAGAATATTAAAGTCAGTGATCATCAAAAATATATATATATAATAAAACAATATTCATTATTGGTTTTTTTTATTTTATTTATTATTATAAAAAATAGATTTATTATATCAAATTACAATCACATTAATGCTTTTAGATTTTTTTTTTGTTTACATTAGTAAAGAGTATCCCATTTTTCTTCTATGGTCCACTACCACTTGTGTGATGTTGCCTTATTTTTTGTAATCCCTGTGACTCAGAGTGCACAACACTCCACTCTTTGGTCTGAGTGTGCCAGCATCCAGGATGTCAAAGGTCTGTCCCGGGACGAGAGTGAAGTCAAATCTCTGGAGCAGTTTGGCCATCACCACTTTAGCCTCCATCTAAAAAACACAACAGCACCCACAGAGATGAGTCAGTGTGTTTATAGGTGAGCGGGTCGTCACATTATTTAGCTATACTCACCTGAGCAAAGTTCTTTCCCAGGCACGCACGAGGACCGAGGGAAAAAGGGTAGTAGCAGTAATAAGGCCTTGAACAGATAAGAGACAGCCTCAGTTACTGTGAACCGTTTTCCTCATTAGGTAATAATGACCAAAAACAAGAATAAAACATGTCAGCATAGTGAAACAGTGTGTTTCTTACTTGGGAGCATCTGGGTGAAATCTGTCTGGATCAAATCTCAGTGGATCCTTGAAGAATTTCTCCAGTCTCCCGCTCACATAGGAGCTGAACTAAATATTAGAACAGTTTATTATTTCTCGATTCCAGGTAACTTTTTTTTTTTTTTAAAGGACTTAAGCTGGTGGGGGTTCTGTTTGAGTAAATGATTAGAAGCATAAGCCTCTATTTTAATATATATAAAGAGATCCATCTTCAAACCAGAAGGTATTAAAACATATTTAAAATCTTCACAACTTACAAGAGCAATAAATCCTCCAGGTATGTGGATCCCATCAATGACCATGTCTTCAGCAATATGACGAGATGTGCCCGGAGCTGTGGGGTACAATCTCAGAGTCTCTTTTAACACCTGGGGGAAGATTACAAGGAATATGTGTAATGTGTATGTGTTAGTCTGCATTTAACCCATTCACCCAGTGAAGCAGTGGGCAGCCACTGACTGCTGAGCTATCCCTGCCTGTAAACTGGTCTTGTGTCCTAACACACGAGATGCCGCCTTTCATTGTTAGTTGACGAACTTTGATTTTTAATCTCATGGATTCACACTAAAACCATTACCACAATTTTCAAATTGCCACATGTACCTGTGACAGGTAGACCAACTTGCCCAGGTCATCGTAGCTTATTTCATGTTTCAGCCCAATAACATCGTCCACTTCTTTCTTCGCTCTGAGAAATGAGAAAACTCC